ATAGTGGGCGCCCGGGCCCTCCACTGCCTTTTCTCTATACTGTGTCACAGTCCTGCAAGCTAAGTAGCAGTGCAGTTTCACAAAGGAAGAAATAGAGGCTCAGAGGTTAAGAAACTTTCCTGAGGTTACAGACTAATAAAGATAAAGCATTGAGATTTGAGCCCAAGTTTACTAGTTGTTAAGTATATGAACATCCCCCCCTCCCCACTCATCTGCCTCTGACACTTTTACCTCTGACATTTTACTGCCACTGTGCCCCTCCCTTCCTGCCTGGTTCAGCTCCTCTTGGCCTCTGCCTAGTCCTGGCCCCTCTGTCTTGCTGCCACTGGAAGCTCTTTGGGGATGTTCTTTCCTGGCCTCAGATGTCACAGCACGTGGTGGTGGTGGTGGTGGTGGTGATGGGCTGCAAGGAGTCCGACCTTGGCCAGCAGGGGCTTCTCAACCCCTCCCCCAACTCACTAATTTATCACAAATAAATGTTGAGCTCCTGTGCCAGGAACTGTCCCAGGCCCTGTTGACACCCTGCCCCTTGGCACTCCCCTTCCAGTGCTGGCTACGGCTTTCTGAGGCAGTAGGTGTGAGGTTTCGCTTTGAATTCTCACCCAGTCCTCTAACCCCACCATGTCCTGGGCACCCATATCCCAGGCCCTCTGTGAGAGTGTTTGCACCCTGTCCTGGAGTCTTCAGCACCCCATGAACCCCTTCCCCAAGCCCACCTGCCCAGCAGTGGAGTCCAAATTCAAACCCAGTGCTGCCTGATGGCAAAGCCCCCTTGCTGCCCTTCTCTTCCCCCAGCTCCTGTGTGGCCTGGGGCAGATCCTGTCCCCTCTGCCTCAGCTTTCTGCCCTGTATGTTTGGAGCAGAGCCTCCCTCGGGCCCTGCCACATAGAGCTGAGTGTGATCCTGAAGTGCCCAAGGTGCACAGTGAGACCTGCTTCCCTGAGCCTGTCTCATTTGCCTGTGCTTGACAAAGTGCCTACTGTGTGCCAGGGCCCAGTGGGGGCACTCTCACATGGACACAATAGCAGCCCTGCCTTCAGATCGCTAAATCTCAGGAAGGACAGCTGCCCATGACATGACTGGAAGTATGGGCTGGAAGTGGCAGCGGCCCCTGCACTGAAACCCATGAGTCCTGAGGAGGAAGGGCTGGGCAGTGGTTCAGAAGTCGAAACAACTGTTAAAAGGACAGTGACTTGCCGGCTTTATTGGGAATTGAGGTCAAAGAAGCTGACCAGGGGCAGAATGCAGAGGGTCATGAACTCAAGGCTGGGGGACTGCAAGCCACGTTCTCCCTTCTTGCTTAGCAGCCCCCCCCCCCC